GTCTTTTCCCCGCGGCTTGTGCGGGGCTTGGCGCCGAGCGTAGGTACTACGAGTTCCAGCTGGGCCCCGTGGTGTTCCTGGTGGTGGATTCCGTGGGCCTGGAGGGTGCCCTGGGAGACCGGGGTCCCCGTCGCTTCGCCAAGGCCATGCTGGGAGGGGGGGAGGTCGGCCGGAGGGGTGAGGTTGCTTCTTTCTCTTGGTGGAAACTCGGTCCCATAAATTTGGGCAGTGCAACCTATGGCTCCGGCACGTTTTGGAGGGCTCGAGTTGACTATCCTCATCCTCAAGTGGGAATATCATGGCCTTTGGATTAATTCCAAGGGACATGCGCGGAGAAGGGCTTTTTGATTGGGCACTCCTCGTCATACATTGGGGAGGGTCAACCGGGTGGACCAGGTTGAACGTTTTGGCAGGTGGGCCATTTTGAGGCTACAACTAAATGGAATGCCATTTGTTCGCAAAACCTGAGGCCGGTTGACTTTGGAAGCAGTTTGGAAGGGAATCGATTTTGAGCCCTTTCATGAAGCTCGATTCTGTTTTGCTGCAAGAGAGATGCCCTGCTTGCAGAGTCTCCTTCACAGCATCTCTTTCAACAATCACGGTTTGCGACCCCGGCCGTATTTAGCAAGCCACTTACAAAGGATAAAGCAAGCAGACTTTCACATTGTCACATACAACATCAGGTGACCGTCGAACACAAGGCATGTGAAGCGGACCAGAGGCTTTTGGAGGATGGTTTTTGCGAAATTCTTCCAACGTCCTTCAATTGTCCAGACAGTCATTGTCAGGATCGGAAATCTCAACTCTGAAGTCGCCTGTTGGTTTTCCTTTGCACCTCCCAGGACCTCTCTGAGGAGTTCGCCGGGCGCCAAGCCGGCGAGCGCCAGTGGCAGTGGCTCTCGGAGCGTTTGGCGCCTTGGTGTCAAACGCTTTGCCCCGGACATGGGGCGGCCTTTCCCTTTTGTGGCTCCCTCTAAAACGGTGAACACCATGCCAACAAAACCATTGAACATGGGGTGGTTCCCTGGAAAACCATTCCAATATCGAAAGCATTAGCTGTTTTGGGGCAAGCACCATAGGGTTGGGGAGGGTGGTGACAACATGTCCCTTTGTCAATGGACTTGGTTGCGCCCTTTTGGTGGTGTGTGTGTGTGTCTCAAAAGTTTTCTGGGCAACCAGCTGAATTCTTCCCCCAGCCATTCCAAGCCTGGTGCTGGATTCGAGTTGAACCCAAGTTGGAAACCTCCAACTTTGTTTTTGGGAGGGGGAGACAAACCCACGTTTGTACTGTGGTTGCGACAATCGAAAGGCCGACTCCGGATGATCCTCACCATCTCGCTTTGTCTCAAAATGGGGGGAACCTCCCAAATTCGTGGTTTGCCTTTGGTTTCCCTTCGAGGCTCCAGAAAGGGTGGTTTCCCCCCCCGGAAAAAAAAAAAAAAAAAAAAACACACACACACACAAACAAAAAAAACACTCCTGCTTGGATTCGATGGCCGCTCCCGAAAGGGAGGACCATGTTGGGAGCCATCCCGGAGAACGGCCTTGGTTTGCACTTTGGCAAAAAACCGAGGCTGACTCTTCCTCAGCGTCATTGAAGGCCGGGTTGAGCTAAGCACACGACGAAGCAGCCGGCCGGCGATGAACATGCAACTGAAGACCATGAGAAGGAAGATAAGTCCAACACGCACAGACAATGCCCAATTGCAACAGCTGCACAATTTTAACAGCTAGGAAGCATAACCAGTACATACGGTCCTCAAAACAACAATATGAGGCGGGCCAACAGTCGCTCACCCGAATGCACACACGCGTGCCATCAACAATCAGCCGCCAGCAGCAAGAATAAGAGCGCTAGTTCCAACAACAGTGGCAGAACCAAAAGACTGACAAGAAGAACAGTACTCGTACCAATAGAATCAGTACTCCCAGCAATGGCAGCAACAGTGACGAACATGCAGTTTTGAACCAAAAGACTCTCCTTATGTAAGAAGAGCAAGTTTGAAACAGCGGCATGCGCACCACCAAACAGGTTGACATGTAGCAATAGTAACTGTAACCTTAGCAATAATAGTGACAATAGAACCATAGTACTCGTAGCAATAATAAGCATGATAATAGTAAGAATAGTAAAACCAATGATGATGATGATGATGATGATGATGATGATGATGATGATGATGATGATGATGATGATGATGATGATGATGAGGATGAGGATGAGGATGAGGATGATGATGATGATGATGATGATGATGATGATGATGATGATGATGATGATGAGGATGATGATGATGATGATGATGATGATGATGATGATGATGATGATGATGATGATGATGATGATGATGATGATGATGATGATACTGTTGCTGCTGCCGCTGCTGCTGCTACTACTACTGCTGCTACTACTAAGAATTTCAACCAATAATGCTAACAATAATACTGATGGTAGTAATTATCCTCAAACAATCAATCATATTGTACTGATTCAGAGCCATGCCAAGGAAGTGAACAAACTGAGCTCAACCCTGGGAAATTCAGGGTCTGTCATGATAGGGAACCACCTCAAAAGTGGCTGGTGGACATGGATCCCTTTGCCCACCAAACACTCCCCAAGATTCGCATGAAAATCAGTATCTGAAGCAATGGTGCCTTTGGGTTCCCCCTTACCATGCAAAAAGGCACCCCTCTGAGAAACGCCCAAATGGGTGTATGTCAATTCAGGGGGCCCCAGAAACTGGGTAAATCCCCTTCGGTTTCCCATTTAGCCCCAAAGAGGTTCAAGGGCACCCTCTTGTTGCCAGGTTAGTGGACAGGAGGCAACCTTGAGAGAAAAGATACCAATAAATCTGAAGGAACCGTGGACAGGAGGGTACCTTCCTAAGCAAAAGACCTCAAAATTACACACATTTCTGAAGGACCTCTTCTTAAGAAGAAAGCAAACCAAAGAATCTGCAGGAAGCCACCGCTCCGCTCGCCCCGCTCCGATCGCGGTACCCTGGAGGTGGTGGTGGGCCACCGGCCCCTGCGCAGCCTGGCCTACCGGGGCCCCGCCCAGATCTCCGCGCCGGAGCAGGCGGTGGCTGAGCGCCTGGCCGCGCTGAGCCGCGCGGCGCCGGCGCCGGCGGCTCGGCTACGGACTGATATGGGTGGGGGTCAACAGGCCACCAGGATATGGACCGCAGGTTTTAGTCTTTGGTTCCATTTGCCAGGGCAAGCCATCTTGGGGTTACCCTATTTTTGACCCACAGCCATATAGTGCAATGCAATGGAATATTCGAACAAACAAACAAACAAACAAGCAACAAAACAAACAAACAGACAACCAAACAAACAAAGAAACAAAACAGATAAACAAACAATCAGACAGACAAACAAAGAAGCAAACAGACAGACAGACAGACAGACAACCAAACACACAATCAGACAAAGAAACAAACAATCAGACAAACAACAATCAGACATAAAAGCCAAACGAGCAAACAACAACCAAACAAGCAAACAATCAGACAAATAATCAAATAATGAGACAAGCAAACAATCAGACATAAAAGCCAAACGAGCAAACAACACCAAACAAGCAAACAATAAGACAAATAAGCTAACATTATGGCATACTGTAACATAAGATAATAGAATAGTGCATTAGCACATCACGTCACATAATATAATATTAGATCATCAATATGTACTTTGCAGGCAAAAACGGCACATGGGTATGCCACCCCGTTATTTTGGAGGTGGGTTTTCCAGGGAAGCCAAAAGGACAATGATTGCACCATGCTGAGAGAGATCCGCATGCTTAAAGAGACAAGAAACAAATTAATACCATTCAACAAGACAGATCCACTTTGATCCGCCTTGGTTGGAACCAGCCAAAATCGCCCCAGTTGAGCTTCAACTGCAGTTAAGTTTCTGGGGTCCTGTGACTCGGGTTGCCCGGATGCCACGCCACAAAGCGGACCCTTGAACTCCAATTGTAGCATCAGCAGAATCACCACTAGGCGTCAAGAGAGGCAGCATTGAGCAGAATATGGTAGCTGCTCCAAGGGAAGGTACATGGCATTTGGTTCTGATGACTCCCGAAGTGTCGGTTGACTTTGGACTCCGTGCCTGGTTTGTCCCTGTCCACTTTGTTCCAGGACAGTTTCATGGTCTCCAGTGCTGTGTTTGGAATGGGTTGCCCAATTCACCGAACTAAATTAACTGATGCCGGGAATGTCTTGAACAGCGCTCTAACATTTCGACCACTTGTAGTGAGCCACAACTTCTTTAACAAGCAAGCCATCAGAAAACAGCAAACACATTCAGTGCAGTGCTTACAAGCAAAGAGCTGCGTGTCAAGCTGAGGTTGTTTATTTGCACGGCCACGACCACGCAATGCAGCATTTCCGTGAAGCTGATGCGCCACTGTACCACTTCGGCAACGGCGTGGGTGGAATGGGCTTGCATCCTTTGGCGGAATGCACGAACTGCAGCGAGTTTTTGTGGGGTACCTCCTCCTACGGCTTTATGGTGCATGAGATTGGCGAGTCTTCCATGAACAACTATTTCATAGATGCTGGCCAGCGAGTGCTTCATTCTGTTGAAGTGCCTTTCATGCGTGAAGTTTTCGGGTGAGTGCCAAGCACTCAATCTCCCATTCCCTGGGACGAGCCCCTCGCGAAGGTGGCGGCTTTGTCGTCCCTTTTCCATGCCGGAATTTGCAGCCTTGGCAAGGAAAAGATCCCGCTCCGGGCAAGTTGAGGCACTGAGCCGCAGGCTGAATAACAAGGGTCGCCTCGAATCAACAACTTTGGCCTTTTTACGGGGCGGCAAATTGAGCTTCGTGCTAGCGGCATGCTTTTGCCACTCGCACTTTCCTCTCCAAGGGCGAACTGATAACGTCAACTACTCCGGAACCATCCTACTTCGAGCAATCCAGCCGCTATCCCAGGGGGAACGGCCCCAGAAGTTGACTTCTGGACCTCCGAAACCCGACCTTTCCGCGCTCGCAGGAGCTACGGCTGGCCCCGGACGTGGCCTTCGCCTTCGGCGGGTGCGCGAGCGGTGAGCGGCCGGCCGACTTCGAGGCGTGCGTAGCGCGCCAGGCCGGGGCTGAGGGCTTTTGCCTTGCACCATCCGCTCATGAGCAGAACTAACACTCCGGCGAGGGGGCTTGCTGGCGTGGAGCGCAGGCTTTCCGCGCACACGCGCTCACTCGCCTGTGTGCATGTGTGCAGGGGCCCCGGCCATCCGCGCACGCGAACGCTTACGCCTGCGAGCGCCGAATAGGCACTGGAGTGCGCCTTGGATGCTGGTGATGCAGCTCCGGCTACAGGGCAGCCATGGAAAACAAGCGCAGTTTCCGCGAAGGAAATTTGGGTCCAGACGCTCCACGATGTTGCACGCCCCTGTGGGTATTCCCCGCCCCCAAAGTGATGCCACACGACACCAGTCATGGGACTGGTTGGTTTTCTTGACCGTCGCAGCCCGAAAAGTGAGCAGCCAAGATTCATCCTGGCCTTTTTGTCCAGTTTTGTTGCACAAGGAACCATTTCAACAACCAGCAACACGATTATGAGATCAGTCCTGGAAGCTCTTCCGACTGGCCAATCCGATCAGTTGGCCATCCTGTCGAAAGTTGGCCGGGAATCGAATGGTGAACATTCCGTTCCCGTTCGGGAATGGTCCAGGCCATCCACTTTTCGAGTCCGGGAGAAAGGAGCCAGGGTGGGCTGATTGCGTTGGCGCATTTGACATTGATTTCGACCCTTTTGGGCAAGAGAGGCGGTGTTCCCCGTTTTTTTCGTGCTGTGCGCATTGCTCGCTGCCACTGGACCAGGTTGACTCATTGCACGTGAAGGGCTTGGGCTATCTTTGCGAACGACTCCGGCAAGCAGAGGGTGACATGCGCCTTGGTCGCAGATGCCAGCTCCGAATCATGCTCCACTTCAGATTCAATAGTCTATGTTATGTCGAAACCAGGGCGCCCTTTTGGGTGTTGTCTCTTATCCCATTCTATAGGTGAGTCCTTGGGAAATGTGAAATGGGGCGAAATGGTCTGTCTCTTCTTGCTTGTCCAAGCTCACAGACAAGCCGATGATGCGAGACAAGAGAAGTGATCACCCGGTCCCATCAAATCTCGACGTCAGAGCGGGGAAAGATGGTGAGGGAAGCTCCTAATAGTCGAACTCGACATTGGAAGGACACTGGCTTGGAGGTGAGTCTTTCGTTCAGCCATGTGCTTCAGCTCATAAGCCCTTAAAGAAGCCTTGTTCAGGGGTTAATACTGCCATGGACCCCCGAGATCCGCTGAGACTGAGGTTTGTTTGCTTGGAGTCGGCGCTGCCTGCCGAAGCTTGCCTCGAAAAGATGCCAAGCCTTGAGGCCGACGTCCCCGCCATGTTTTTGTTTTCCTACGTCAGTAAGCCTTTTGGATCTTCGTTGCCCGGTCGTTACCCTCCCTCCATGGAAGCTCCCAGGAAACTTTTGGAAGACTTGGTTCCGTTTACGGAGGCCTTTGGGGAGCTTCCATGTTAGTCTAAGGCAGGGTACAAGACCAAAGGGGAACCAGCCATGTGGTCTCCTGTTTGAGAACAAACCGAGAGCAAGGAACCTCGCCCGAGCATTGGCTTCGTGATTGCGCAGTGGTTCATCGCCCACGTGTCCCAGTGCGGCGTGGAGGATGTTTATCAAGGGCATCTCGAGAGGACTGCCACCTCACCTCCCACCATGCCCCGATGAGTGTCGACAGGCTTTCCTGAGCATGTTTGCTTTGCTCGTTTTTGTTTCCCAGCGTTTGCACAGAGTTCACGCGCACAGACGTATTTATTATACGGTTCATTGCGGTTCTCCTGAAAGTTGACATGGAACCCCAAAAACACAAATTTTGCAGTGGAAGACTCATGGTGGGGTTTCATCTTATATAGTTTGACCAGCGTTTATCATCTTTCACTTTGCTTCCCAGGTAGTTCAAAGGTTGGATCCTCCGTTCTCAGGTAGTTCAAAGGTTGGATCCTCCGTTCTTTTCACTCAGCGTTCTTTTGGGCAACCCCTCAGTTGGTTTGGGTTGTGTGCTTTTATGAAGGATCGGACATGGTTGGGAGTTCGAGAAATAGGTCCATTTGAAGGGGTTCCACTTTCCATGACACACCAAACAATGGCAACTAGTGGGAACCAGGGATAGTAAACCTCTGGTTGTTTAGCGGGTCCCATTTGAGAGAGGCGCAACACCTTCTTCCCCGATGTTCGGATCTCGATTCGGTTGAATCCAGGGTCGACCTTGCACATGCTAGACCTCAGAGGGTTCCATGTTTTGATTGAAAAGGCTCAAACCCGGCAACCACTGGATTGAAGTCTGTGGAATCAACAAATGGGCCCTCGCACTGGCGTTTTTCCCTTTCAACCAGCCTGGAAACGGGTATGGGTCAAAATTAAACCAGAAAACGGGCAGAATGTTCGTGCTTGTCTTCATCTACCAGGGCCGGCCATATTGCGGTTTCCCACAGCAGACGTCGCCTTGGGCCATGACCATTCTGCAATCGGCTTCGAACAGTGACAAGGTAGAGCCGCTTCCTGCCGGTTTTGTGACCCAAAAACACCCGGATCCAACGCAGGTGTTCGTGCTTGTTTCATTGCCCAGGGCAGGCCATGTTGAAATTTCCCCGGTTTTTGCCCCACAGCCAAATGCCAGCGGGTTTTTGGGCACCCACTTGGGTGTACATGAGGTTCCACGAAACGGGTCCAACGGCGCAGGACGCACACCCCAACCAAATTTAGACCACATTAAAAAAAAAAAAAACGGGTCGGGTTTTGGTGCTTTGTTTTCCTTTCCCTACAGCCGTTTTTGTTCTTCCCCCCGCTTTTTTTTGACCCAAACACCCCCGGATCCAACGCATCCCACGGCAACAGTGCAGGACGCCCGGCAGCCTGGCCGAGACGGTGGCCATGCTGGCGCTGCTGGAGTTCCTCACGGAGGGCACCGCCAGCCGCGTCGTCACGGTCAAGGCGGAGAGCGGAGCGACGGGGGAGGGGCGGCGCCCAGAGGAATGAAGGGCCCTTCTCTTTTTTTTCTCTCTTTTTTTTTGGCAGGTTGGATTTTTTTTTGTTTTTCAAGGAATGGCAACTGGGTGATTTTTTTAAAGATATATACCTTCCGACCCTTGCTTGCTCTTCGGGTGGGGACGAGCCCTAGCCCCACGTTGGTAAAGCGTCCCGGGTCGGTCCCGCTGGCGGGTGACTCCGGTCACCTCCCATTGGCGTTGCATCGGCCGATTTGAGTTCTTGGCAGTTGTGGGGGAATTGCTGGCCTCGGCTTCCTCGCATTTCTATCCCCCAGTTCCTTTTTTGAACCCAAATGGGGGTTTGGGGCGCCAAGGTCCAAACCCCCAATTTCTTGCTGCTGCTCTGGGAATGAGACTTGGAATGAGCCCGAGACAAACCCTCCAACTCCTGTGTTTTTCCTTTTCGGGACTTCAAAATTCCTCCTTCCCTCCCGGGGAAAAACGCGGAAGCTGAGCGCTCGTCCGACCTCAGACGCCAGACGTCAGGTCCGGGAGGGCGGCACGCAGTGCCTGTCCGAGCTGGAGCTCCAGGCGGGCTTCGGGTGAATTTTGGGAAACCCAAAACTGGCTTGCCCTAAATGGAAAATGGTCTGGGGAGTATAGTCCTTGGTATAGTCCTTGGTCTGGGGAAAAATAGTCCTGAAGAACCTACCTGCGGTCCATATCCTGGCGGCGAAATTTTGACTACCCAGGCCGTCTTCGGGGCGCCAGAGGCCGAGAGCGTGCGAGGAACCCCGGTGATGCGGCTCTTCGAAGGCGCGGGGCTTTTTTTTTGGCTCTTGCCATGGGCGCGGGTGACACGTCAGCGCCGGCCTTTTGTGGTTTTGGAAAATTTCCGGTCGTCTTTTTCAATTGAGGAGACCCTTTTTGTGGGCTTTTTTTGGGAAAGGCCCGTTTGGTGTATTCTTGAGGGTGCCCTGCTTGAGTTGGTTTAATAACATGGGGCGCTCTATTTTGACATACCCATATGAGTTTGCTACTAGGGATACATGCTCAGGGCTAGGGTTACTGGGGTTGTGGGAGATAGGGTTTTAGGTGGCGGGGATAAACCAGGCACCTTGGATAGGGCCAACTTTTCATGGGAAGAACCTTCCAACATAGTTTGTGGACCTAGATTCCCATGCAAACCATGTCGACCAATGGTCCCCTGCTTGAAATTCACACACGTATGGTTACATTCCCTTTATGTATATTATATGTTTGGGCTGGGGTATTTTGCATGGGCTCCAAGCGGTCTTGGAGTGGGAGAGTTTGAAGGACCTCTCACATAATTCAAGGTGCACTAAACACGGTCGCCAGAATGTACATGGGTCCTTTACAGTTGGAGGTGTAGTTGAACATGCAAAATTATGTGGATGGTCGAATTCCATTCGCACCCCTTTGAAATCATGGTTGAAACCATGGTTTGTTGGTATATACAGGGGAATCGACTCGGAAGTTGAAACCATGGTTGTTGGTATTTGCAGGGGAATCGAATCAGACACCAGGGTTTCTGAACGGTGGTGCGAACTGGATTTTGCGTCGCCATCCGCAGTAGGACCTTGTTTGGAAGTTTTTGTTTCGCCTCAAGAAACCGGACCAGGGCCGCTCGGCTTTTTGGTTGGATGGTTACCAGGCATTGATGCCAAAGAGCAGCTGCACTCGATTCTGCGAGATCTGCGGCCGCAGGTGCGGGGAGTCTTGGGCGATGGGCCAAGATCCGTTGTCAAGGGATCTGGAACATGCGTTCGCCTGTTGCTTGGCTGGTTGCTTGGCTGCTTGGCTGGTTGCTTGGCTGGTTGCTTGGCTGCTTGGCTGGTTGCTTGGCTGGTTGGTTGGTTGGCTGGCCGCCTGGCTGGTTGGGTTGTTTTCTGGCTGCTCGCTTTGTGTGGGTGCCTTTTTGGTTTAAAGGCAACGAAAGGGACACCACCCAGTTTGGTGTACCCGCGTGTTGAGACAAACCCATATGGGTGTGTCCTTTTCTTAGGAATCGGACCCCCTCCCAAAAACATTTAACAAAAAAACAAAATAACACAAAAACGGTGGTTTTCCTTTTTATCTCCCTGTAACCCCCCCCACCCAAAAAAAAGGTGCCGTCGACCCATAGCCTCCAGGGGAAACATAAGAAAAAGAAAAAGACATTCAGCCAGTCTTTTGGTTTCCCTGTAAAACCACAAAAAACCTCAAACAAATGGACAGATCCACATCCTCCAGCGGGAAACAAAACACTCTGTAGCTTTCCCTATAACCCCCCCCTCCAAAAGAAGAAGCAAAGAACAAAAAAGAGGTGCCGTCGACCCATAGCCTCCAGCAGGAAGCAAAGAAGCACATGTAGCCATGGCCCGTGGCCTTTCCCAGGCCGACTGCGCGAGGGGGGTGGAGCTGCTCGCTGCCGCCGCGCAGTGCCTGGCAGCGGAGAGCTACGGATCCCCGCGGGAGGATCTCGGGCGAAAACGGGGGGCGGGGGTGGGTTTCCTTCCTAAAGGTGTTTTTTCTTCCTTTTTTTTTGGTTATCTTCTTCTTTCAACTTGTTTGTTCCTTTTGTTTTTGTTTATAAACGTTTTTTTGTTGTAGGGTGACGGATGGTTTGGAGGTTTCAAAGGGAGACCACAAGGAACACCAAAGACATTTGAGGGGTCCGATTCCTAAAAAAGAGACCCAGGGCCCAGAGAATCAGAATTTGTTCCCTGTTGATTCCTGTGGTAATGTTTTGCAAATTGGCGGGGGACTTTGAAACCAAATGGGTCGTGATAGCAATTAGCGTTGTTTTTGTTCAGGTTTCCTTTTTTGGGTTGCCACTGGGAGTAAACTCAGGGGTCCCCCACCTACATCGCTCCTGTTTCATGAGGCTAGCAATGCGACTGGGGATATGCGTTGCAAAGCCACCGACTTGCGCCAAATCCACTTGGTCTTCATTTTCCACACGTCTCGTTCTCTGGTGGGCAAGGGGATCCCGTCTAAAGCGCCTGAAACTGGTGCCAGACATTGTGGTGGCAAAAGGGATGGCCTGAGTTGCAATGGATGTAAGCCGATTCCCACAAAAATATAGATAACACTGATCCAGGAAAAGAGGGGGGAGTTTTCAGATGGGTTGATGGGATATGCCTCGGATGGGACGCCGTTGGGGTATTCCTTTGCGAAGAATGGGCTCCCAGGAGGTGCTCCGCAGGCTGCCGGTGGATATCAGCTGGGATGGATTGCATCCATCACTTTCGGAGCCTAGCCGCTGCAATGCTTTTTCTGTGACCCTAGCGCGTTTCGTGATCCCCTTTTGAGTTCGCGGACCTTGTGTCGCAGATGACAGGGTTGCGAGGGTCGCAGCTGACGACGGACTGACCTTTTCAGACCTTGGCTGGAATTGATTAAGCATGATCCCAAATTGGAAGCAGAAGGTCATTAAAGAATGTCGACACGCCACAGGTCCCTTGAGTTGCTGCCCAAGGCCAACTTAATTGAGGCCTTGTGGACCCAACGGCGTGAAGGGACCCAGGTGTCTTTTTTGGGTGCCACAAACAGGAAAACCTTCCCTGTGCAAAAGCTTGTTGGACAGTACCCTCTGACTAAATGTGAGCTGACAGAAATGCGTTTCAGTCAGGTGGCATGAGGGCACCTAGGTGCACCCTTCTGCACAAAGCAAACAATGATGCAAGAATAAGATGGGCGATTCAACAGCAGGGTGTTTCTCGTTGGGGCACGATTGGCCCGTGAGAGTTGCACATCGGACCGCAACTCTTCACCGGAGCCTGTGAGAAGCAGCTACAAAGATGTTGAAGCCAATGAGCCTCAGCACAGCACGCGTGGCCGGACGGAGGTTTGATGTCACCGAGCATCAGAACAAGCCCGAGACAAAGCAGAGCCTGAGACAAGCACAGGCAAAGTCCTAACGCCCGAGAATGCTATCCTAAACCAAGCAGAACAACTCCGAAAGAGACACCAGCCATTCGTGCATGCTTTTTTTTCTTGGTGCCTGTGGTCCCCGCCAATTTGCTGATTGTTAGGATTGGATTGTTGGCCTAGTTTAGGATGACGCCAACTTCACTTCACGTTGGATCATGTCAGCATATCCAGAGAGTCAGCCGGCGAGAATAAGCAATCTATTCGCGTACTGAGCATGATTTGCTTGGGATGAGGATCCTGAAGATTCGTCCCTGGTCGAGCAGATCGGGATAGAGCGACCTGGGTTGCAAATCCGTTGCTGTGCATCTGCATAGACTAGCTTGCAAGCAATGACCTTGCTTAGGCTATACAGGAGCGGTGTTACCAACTTGCTGGCAATCTTCAGCAAGTCAGCAGGCCGGTTTTGCGCAACTCCATGGCTTCACCAAAGCAATCCCCATTTTCGGCATCGACCCCATGGATTCCCAGGCGGCTTAAACACCCGTGGCTTGTGGAAGCCATGGGCGCGCCTCGGCGAGGCTTCTATGGCGGGGATTCCAAGCTGGACCCTGTGAGGGCCTCACTCACAGTGCTGGAGACCTGTGCCGGGCAGGAGGAATGGAGGCCGGTGGCAGACAGAATCTGGGCAGAAGGTTACTTTGGGATTCCACAAGGGTGGGTCTTTTTATAGGCAACCCTTGCAAAATGCTGGTTTCCTTTTGGTTTCCGTTTAAAGCCGCCAACAAAAAGGATACCCTCAAAAAACTACACACCCATATTTTTGGCAGGGAATAGGAATTTGCCCCCAAGGGCGCGGCTAGGAATTTTAACGGTTGGAGGGTATTATAGAGGAAGTTATACTTGAAGTTCAATGTTTGTAAGAATCTGAGGTGGGTCGTCTAGTCCTATTTTGGTGGTCCTAGTCCCAGTTGAAAGATCCTGGGTTCTAGTCTCATTTGGTCCTGGTCCTAGATGAGAGACTGGCTGCAAAGAAGGCGTTCTTCACCAGCGAAGGCCAAGGGCTTTAGTGTTGGCTGTCTGCTCACTCTGCAAAAGGTGTTTGCCTGGCTGCCGTTTCTTTCCTGTGATCTTGTGTGCTGCTAGGTGCTTAAGATTAAGCACCTCACGGAGTGTTCCTCATGGCGTACCGCCAATCCATCTAACCGCTTAGGCGTGTCTCAAAATGGACGCCCGCGTTGGTTGGGGGTTCCCATAAGACAGGCCTCGCCATTCTTGTTCCTTTCTTCTGTTCCTTTGGTTTTTTCTCTTCCAATCGCACGCACCCTGAAATGGTACCATTGGTTTTGACCCACAGCCAGGTCTTTTCCCAGTCTGGGCCAGTTCCCATGTCGCCTTTTCTCGGAGGCTGGAGCCGAAACCTCTGTGCCACGCGGGCTGCGTGATGCAGATCCGCAACGCCATCCTGCAGAGCGTTCTGGCGGCTGGGCTCTGCAGAGTTTGGGTCGTTACATGCTGCCTGGGTGGGGCAAAATATGGTTTAAACACCACCTTTGCAAGGGAATCGTCATAATAACCAGTGGTTTAAACATGTTTAAACCAATGAGTGGTTTTGTTGGAGGTTTGGACTTTAACTTTTTGCCAACTAATGGGGTTTCCATCAAACCACCAAAAGTTAAATTTCTAGCAGGGGAGCAGAAAGCAACCGAGCTTCGCCGCTAACCCTGGTGGGCGCGTGGCGTCTTCTGCTAATGAAGAACGCCGGATGAATAAACTCATCCTACTCATCCTGCTAATAGTGGGGTGGCACCCACAAGAGTGATCCGGATTCCCACTAAAAGGGGGGCACCCCCGGTACTCATCAACCAGGGGGTGGGTTCATCCGGTGGTGAGGTCTACCTT